CTAGACACCTGAAGGCACCATTTTGTTTTTCATTTTGCTTATTAATTATTCCTCAGCAAATGAAAAGAAGTTAGATTTTTTCTGTATTTCTGATATAATACATAAATGAGTTCCTGCCGTCAGCACCTTTAGTTAAGCACTCTCTTAAATAGCAATAGCAAATGCCTCTGCATTTTTATATGTCAGATTTCTCTGCTCCCACACTATTTGCCTCCATGCATTCTAATGGGTCTCCCAGTAATTTTCGCAACCAATGTGGGTTATAAGCTTCCTCCAAGTGAGAGGATATAAAGGACGCACATGTACTTCCTGAACACCACAGTGTGCTTCTGTTTTATTTATTTATAGTACTGACTGTCTGAAAAATAGAACGTCATTATAAAATCTAAGGATAGACTTAGTAGCCACATAGAAAAGAAACATGTCCAAATCACAAAAATGTAAAGATTTTGTGGGTGGGAAATAATCACATATCAAAGGAATGCAGCAAAATGAACTGTATCAATCCAGACAAAACCACAAAGTAAAAATAAGACTAAAACCTTGTTGGGCAGTCTACTAACCAGCCAGTTTGGAAATGTTAATGCATTTTTATGTTCTCTTACACTGTAATTAGTGAATTGAATAGCTATGATTTGTGGATGGTTACTTCGACAAAACAAGACATTTGAAGACCTCATCTTGGGCTCTTAAGAAATTGTGATAGCATTTGAATTTTTATTTATTTTCATTTTGGCATTTTATAGAAAAATATTCAGCAGATTATTTGGTAATAAAAATAGTAATTTTTTTACAGTCTGTTCTGGTTTAAATAAAATCCTTGACAGCGGTCCCTGGCACTGAGGTCTCTGGTGTTTCCCTTTTAATTAGTTTATTTATTGATTTGTTTAGGGCTGCAACTGGCAATTACTTTCACTATCAGTTCATCTGCTGATTATTTTCTTGATTAATTAATTTATTTCCTCATTTATTTCCTGCAAAGTAATGAAGAACATGCAAGATAATTTCCCAGAGACCAGAGTGAGGTCTTCATTGGGTTATACAGTATAATCATAAAAGACAAAGTAGCAAACTCTCACTTTTGAGAAGCTGGAACCAGCAGAGCTTTAGACATTTTTGCATAAAAAAATTAAAGAGAGTGTTACTTGATTATCAAAATAGCTGCCATATGATTTTTAGAAATTAAAGTAGTTAATCAGTGGATCATTGCAGCTTCATTTATTTACTTATTTGTAATTTTTTCCAGTGGCATTTAATTTGGCAATTGGGCAAGTGGGTAGATTGGGTCATAAAAACGTTTGTGAAAATAAATCCCTGTTTCATTCAAATCAGGCTTGTATATGCAATAAACACAGAGAGAGGTGAAACGTTTTCACTGTGATAATGTGGTAAATACATTTTTCATGAACTGACCTGGAAAAAAGTGGATTATTGTGACCAGTCAGTTGTTTTTTGTTTCAGGGTCTGAGGCTGGGTGTACCAGCAGAGTCCCCCGCCATGATCTTTGCCACACCCACCAAGTTGGTGTCAGAGGCTCAGGCTACGGTGGAGTACCTGGGAGCAAACAAGGTTCCAGACTTCCAGAGGCTATTCCAGGTAATGAGGAACACAAAATGAATTAAAAACAAAGATAAAAAAAGGATATTGTCACAATAATTTAATAACTGCAAGATTAGTTTTAGTAATGTGAAATTGTTCAACACAGACACTAACGAGGAGTTGGTGTAGAACCTCTGAACCTTCAAAGCAAATTACAAATAAATATAATTTTAGTTTTCCCAGTTAAACCTCAGGGACAATTTTTCTTTTAAAAATGATTATGTAGAAAAAGTGGTGGCTTTCTTAAATATAGAAAAAATGTATTTTAAAAACAGTTTGTGCTTTTAACCTGTTACAAGGGAGGAAAAATGATTACAGTGAATCAGTGTTCAGAATTCTCTATACTCTTCATCACCAATTTATTATTCTTTCTTTCTTTTTTTCTCCTTTTGCTTTTCTCTGGTTTCCTGCCCACCCCACCTGTTCGGTCTTCTCTCAGGCATCAGATAGTATCCCTGTTCATCTGAAGCGTGGACTTCCCGACAGGCTACTGTACCGCACCACTATGGCTCTCACCTTAGGGGGCGCTCTCTACTGTCTGGTGGCTCTTTACATCACAGCCCAGCCCAGGAATAAGTGACCAACACAAAGCCACGATCTTTCTGTAACACTTCCCAACTTGTCGCTGCTGTAGTACGTGGTTCCAGCGTTCACAGCCTTCATGTGCCCTTGCCGTGCCCCCTGCTGGGTCACTTGGATAAGAAATGATCACTGTTAGGACAGCACACCAATGATAACAAGAATACTGTCTGTCTTCTTTGTAGAAAGATTGTCTAAGTTAATAAATTTTCAGGAGAAACAAATGTAAAAGTTCAGGTCTTTCCCATTTTGTTGGTCTGTTATGCTATGTCACTGTCATTATTGCAAATCAACCAACAGATGCACAAACATTATGTATGAAACTGTTTAGAGAGCTGCGTTGTCTCCCTCAGCTTTTACATAGGCCAAAATAGAGGTGGGGATGTAATGATTTGGCATGTGATAAGCATGTGTGTGAGACAGAGCACATCCCTTCCAGAACATAGCTGCTGCTCACTTGGTTTAAGTACTGTCTCATACAGTATTTATATGTGTGGGCCCTGGTGTGATGTCAGATGCTCCTTGCTGATTTTGGAGGGAGGGGGGAGGTTGTTTCAGACAGACATGTTGGCAGTCCCACATCAAGCTGCTGCAACACTCAGTTGCTTGTGCTTTTTTTCTCTCATGTGCATGCTGTTTTTTTTTTTTTTTTTTAAATTTGATTTTGATATTTTTATGAGCAACATGATACTTGTGCAGGAATTGGCATAATGTAAGGAGTTGTAGCCTGTTTTACAGGCAAATACACAGCGGTAGAAGGGGTATTCATATTGTTTACTGAAGTAAAAGTAGCAACTGTATTCAAAATTTTACTCGTGCTTAGAGAGGAGTCGAGGAAACACATTTAGCGATGTGACGTTCTTTTCTTTGATCCTTCCTCTGAAGCGTCCATCTGAGCTAAATGAAGTTCCTACATTGTTTGTGATGTGGACACAAAACCCCTTGATTGAATTAAAGCTGAGACTATTAGAATATTAACCTTATAGTCATCCTTTTTGTTAAAGTCCACCAGGAGTACGTAGCTAACGCAACAAAAAATGTGCCATTGTCCAATACTTTATACCTGAGGGGATTGGAAGGCTTTAGTTTTAATCAAACCTCTAGTACATTTTTTTCTCTAATGGCTTCCCAGGCCCCCAAAAACTGCTTGGAAATTTATAAATGAATAAAAAATACAGTGAAAGTGATTTAAATTAATGGGTAGCCAAGTAAGAGTGTTATTTATTAAAATGTGGCTCCTTAATTTGTCATTCTGTCTTAGCTGTGGACCTCCTTATGTCATGGCATCAATACTTCACACCCTGAGGAAAACCTTATCATGGATAATTGATGACAGCACTGATTTAAAAGTGAATAATGAGTACCTTAAATAAATAAAGTCAATGCATAATTTGAAGCGCGTCTTACTCCAGAACATCCCATCCTACAAAGCGAGGGTACAGACACAGTGTTCACATGTAGGTGTGTTCCAGCTGTGGTCCAGTGATGTCTCATTATCTCCATGTCACCTACTAATTACTGATGAAGGCTAACATCTAATATTATTTATTGGTTGCACAAAGGTGTCGAGTTCCATACAATCTCTAGCAATAATTTGTCTATAATCTGGGCAAATGAATACTCTTTAAAATAAAATTACTTGGCCTATCAAGCTACACCTTCAGACAGTGAGGCTTTGTTCACCCCAAACGAAAACGTGCTGTACACTCTGGAAGAGTTACCGTTTATGTAATGACAGAATTTACAGTAGAAGAACAGGTCATGCAGATTTCCCAGGGGTTGGCCTTGGACTTTTCACATTAACAAACCACAAATTGAACCATGCTTTCCTCTTGCAACTGTTGTCAGCAGATGTCATTGATTGTTACCATGGAAACACAGCTCAGGGAGCAGGATGGCTAAGTTTTAGCATTAATAACTCACTTTATATATTTATTTTGTGCAACTGTACAGCTACCATTGGACTAGTCAAAGTGTAAGTCTGTGTCTGGGACAAAGCAAAGCAGCTTAATTTATATAACTATTCGAACAAAGAGCCAAAAACATTAACAGCATTGAAACAATATCCATTAAAAACCAGTATAAGATCAATTAAGAAAAAATAAAGATAAAACTTAAGCTGAAATCCATAAAATGAAAATAAAAACAAATAGACAAAGATAAAAGAAGATCAGAAATAAAACCGCAAGTTGCCCTGAATGCAAACTAATCAATTAAAGGTACCGGAAAACAGAGTTTTCACTTTGGATTTAAAAGTGGCTGAGTTGGGGCACATTTAAAGTCATCAGGACGCGTGTGCAGCGTCGCAGCTAAAACCAGTTTGACTCTGTTTGAGTCAAGGTTCTACCAGCTGACTGCTTCCTCAGAGCCAATTTGTCTTAGAAACCTTGAATTTAAGGTACAAAATGGGAGTAAAACAACCTGTCTTTATACTGCTTGTTTGTTTTAACAAGGAATTCCCTGCACAGTTTGTCTCTTTTCAGTTACTCACTGGACTCCCACTGAAGCTTTTCTTAGAAAAACGTAATCGCTATGTACACACGTTAAATTGTCAAGAGAGGCATCTTGTTTTCATAATAAACCTTGTACCTGCTTTTCATCAAGGAATCCTTCAGCACCCCCTTAATTCCACCCATCTGTATCCCCCGTCCCTGTTGCGTCACGACAGCCCACTTGAGCATCCCTCAGTAACAATGGATCCTTTTGTTGTTGCTCTTTAGTCTCAACAGGAGAGACACAAGAGTTTCACAATAACATGTTTACTCTTCAACAACACAACACTCCAACTGTTAATGAAGCACACACCGTGGGGAGCGTTAACACACAAAACTGGGGCTAAAGCAAAGACAAAACACAGGAAGCAAGTGGAGTGTGAGGAGGGGGAGGATGAGAGTGAGATAAGGTTGTTATATAGAAGCTGGGTGTGATTTATTGGAAGAATATTGAAAATGGTATCTTTTTTTTTTTTAAAGAAGGAATCCATCGTAGAGGAAGCTGCTCACATCACGTCTGTGCCTTCTCACTCAAATGTCCCTTCTAATAAATCAGTGTAAAGTCACTCTACATAGAAATGTGATTATTATGGCAGATTTCAAATTATTCTGAAGACGTACACTTTACTGGAGAAAAATGATGCAATCCTGGTGAAAATTGGTCAGATTTGTCTTATCTGGTTCTCTCAGGGGGGCGTTGGAATCAAAATTGAGTTCTGTCATATTCATTTTAAACATAATTATTTTTGGATTTTGAGTCCAAGGATCACAGAACCTTGGACTCAAAAGCCAGACTGGCAGAACAAGCAGGTAAAAGTCAAAAAGCTCTTTACTGGCAGTCAGCGAAACAAATAAGGTGAGGAACAGGTGGCCAACAGCAAACAGGATGGAAAGCAAAGGCTATGTGAGTACTAGGATAATGTTTCAAATGACTCCAGGAACACGGATGGTGTATTTATTAAGAGAGTGATGAGCCAATGAACAGCAGGTGAGTGGGGATATCAGGTGATTCGGGTGTCAAGAACACGAGGCATGGTGAGTGAGAGTGGCAGCGTCTAAAATAAATATTAAAATTATAATTTGTAAATCCCTTTTACTCCAGGCTCACCATTTCCCCTATACCAAGATGCTAATATCTAGTGGTTCTCCCCTCGTTTTAAAGCTTTGTCAACAGATTTTTGACAACTAGGGGGCAGATGAGAGTGTGAGAAGAAAGTTGTTACATAAAGCATCATCCAAAAGATCACCCATATAACATATGGAAAAGTTAGAATGTTTCAAATTCACATTGCAGCTTTAGCATAAAGAGGAGCATAGTTTGATCCAATATAAACATTTAAATAGGGAAATGAGGACACACTTTACATGCATATGCCCCCAAAATCCAACAATTCTGGATGAAAACTCATAGTTACAGCATATTGTGAACACCACTGATCTGCACTTTGTATTCTGCCAATAACTTTATATTAGAGGAGACTAAAATCATTTTTCCTCAGTCAATTTAGTATAGACCCACACAGCAATAACAGCTGAACTGAAAGTTACTCACTGGGTGACAGTATTAAGAACAGTTATTGCACATGAAGGAATTACATAAAAGATGTGTAATAGGACATTTGCAAATCATTTATAAAAATGACAAATCACTTACACATGGCATCATCACTCTCCCTAATTGTAGATTGTCTCCTTTCATTTTAAAGCGAATTGATTTTTGATTATTAGGGGGAATTATCAAAACAAGCTGAGACACAAAGACATCAACACATCCCTGGCTTCGAAAATTGTACTTGCTAATGTGTTTGCAATCTACTGTATTTGCACAAGCAGACAGGGAGCAACATTAGCATTCATGTGGCACGGGGTTCTGTCTACTAGACAAATCGAATTGCTTTTTCACTGCGGTTTGGCTTCAACTAACTCTCGAGAAAAAATATCAGCCTCTTCAGCTATTTTTTGTCAGTCTTATGCTTGAGTCGGCAGTGTACTGGGGCTTCATCAGAACTTGCTGAAAACAGCTGCCTGCTACAGCTGGAAATAGAGTTAATAAGACTGTGAAGACAGGGATTTATATTAAAATTGCAAGCTGTAAAACCAAGATGCATTAATAGAGGCTACAAAGCCATATACAGCTGCAGAGAAGGCAGTTCTTTGTTCTCAGCTGCTCAGGGAATCTTTTCAAATTGCACAGTCATTTGATTCAGTGCTAAAATACAGTTTAAGACAGGTTTCATTTTGGGTGACTTCATCCTCCACAATGGGCAGAAGGTTCACCTTAATTCAGCGTGTAATACTCTGCCAGTTTCCTCTGGCCTCAGAGGAACAATGCAGAAACAAATGCAGAGACATAACAGCTCTGTAAACAGCAAAGAAAGGCTATGACAACTGCCTTGCAGGAAAGGCTGGTGGGAGAGGGCTGCAGTGGGAATGACAAATTACCTCTGCTCACAATGCCCTTGCACAATAGCTTTGCCTGAGAACAAATAATGAATAAATAAAGTTCTCTGGGATTGAATGAGGAGGACAATTTGCGAAGCATTAGCTTTTGTGTGTGTGTCTGTGAACGAATGGTCTTGTGCTTGTCTTGCAGATGAAATGACCATATGTGGAATGGAGCATATGAACAAAACAAGTCCATTCAGATATATCTGTCCATAAAGCACGTTGATTGCACACATATAACACCTCAATGGCCCAAAAGAGACACTTGAAAATTACACTATGTGATGTGTGAACCATGTTAGCTTTTATAAAAATATATATTCACATTACACTTCTTTCTATCCCTTTGCTACTGTAGTTTTGTGAATTTCCCTGTTGTTGTGACTAATAAAGGTTCATCGTATCTTATCTTACAAGGGTGAGATGTAGCTGCGATCAGGGTGAAATCACTTTGATTGCACCTTTTGGGGCCCTACTCGCCACTTCCTGTGCCTATCAGAACCAAGAGGGAGATTTGTAAAAAGGCACAGAGAGCAAGAGAAATAGAGGTAACAGCTTGAGGTCAGATTGAATTTCATCAGAGATGGAGTAAGAGGTTTAGGGATGAAAAAGGTGTGGTGATTGGTGCTGTAAGTGTATATAGGCTGAAAGTCTCTCTCTGTCCCCTATTCTCTTTTTCCTTAAGGCTATTTCCCTCTGCCTTTCCCCGGCAACAAACTTACATAAGAGTTCAAAGGCAGGACAAATGGCCAGCTGCCCCTGCCTGTGCTGAAACTGTCCATCAATCCCAATAAGCATTAAATTACATACTGCTAAACTGTCTGAATTGTATCTTTCTCCCCACATTTTGCTTCCATTTTTCTTGGGAATAATTACTTAAGTTGTACGTTTAACAAGTATCAAGACTGTCTTGCAAACAGCATCCCTCATTTAGTTTGCCATTTGACACTGCCATGCAGACAATTCACATTTCATTTTGGTTACTGGCTGCGAGGGAGAACAAAAGATGTGGGCGGTTTGAAAGGAGAAAAATGAATGTCCCTAAAATGAAAGTAAATCAATATGGTTGCCTGAGGACGTGAAAAGGTGGAATGAGATGGAGAGTAACAGAGGGAAGAGGGTGTTGAAATAGAGTTGGAGCAAGATTAATGGTTGTTTAAAAAGGAACAGTATTCATCAGTAGCCAGCTTCAGGTGCAGAACAGTGTGTGTGTGTGTGTGTGTGTGTGTGTGTGTGTGTGTGTGTGTGTGTGCCAGAATGTCATCAGAACATTTTGCAAAGTTTACACTTTGTCTTAAAGTTTCCCTCATAACTATTTCAATAAATGACCACCCAACCGTAACACTGATTACTTTGCAAATGAGTGTGATGCTCAATTTCTTATCTTCATTTAAACACACATACACAAACACACGCGGTCCTGATCCAACAGCACCACCTACAGTTTTAAGCATTTTTAGGTTCATTCATTCCAGAACAAATCACTGATGTGACTGACTTTCAGCTATAAACTACTAATCTTTTAACCACAAAACAGTGCCCACTGATGCAGAAGATGCCCTTTATTCATGTCAAAAATCCTCAAGAATATACTCAGTCTTCATGCATACAAAATAATCATATGCTTTGTGTTATTACAAAACCACCTTTCCCGCAGGCTGCAAACAGAGTGAATGTTACCCAGTAAATATTGTGAAAAACAGAATTCAGTACCCTCATGGTCACATTCAGATACACACCAGCACAGAAACCTGTGTCAGTCCATCATTTGCATTTGTATGTGAGCTGTTTACGATGATAGTGGATCCATGCAGGAGCAGCAACAAGCCCGGTCAGGAAACCAATCATAGCGCCGAGGCTGCACGAAACAGGCCAAACCTACAAGAACAAGAACAAGGGAGTCTGATTGCACATGGCCACAAAGTGATGATCAAACACCCCGAGACTGAGAGGAGCTACACCCGACAAGCACGTCTCCTCTCCACATATGTGATGTTCAGTTAATAATTTAAAAAGGAACTTTTATAGCAACGGGAAAATACAGCACAAGTGTCATCCAGTGTTATGCTCCAGTAACAGTACCACTGTTTACCTCCAATTTGAATTTTCTTCCTGTCATTTTGCAGAGAACTTCATTTGCAATTATAATTATAATCTTTTCCTTTTGTCATTAAAAAAAGATTAAGGAAATTAAGAGAACTTTAAATTAGAATTTCATCCTTATGGAAGCTGTATTTAATATTGATTTATGATAGAAATAAACAACTGACATCTCGTTAATAGAGGAAACTCTCTTGAGGCAAGCAAACATGAAAAAAAAAAAAACCCAGAAGAATATAAGTGTATTATTGCTCAAAGTTGCACACGTGCATGTTTGTTTACTGCTGTTATATAAATGAGTGGTTGCCAACTTTTTTGACTTATAGCCCCTTAAAAGCTGTGTCTGCTTGCACAGTTTGCAAGTTATTGGAATATTTGGCCCAGCAACTTATACCAACAACTGCCTCAGGGTCTTTATACACATCTCTGTCTAACATTGTCCTCTGCTGCACCCAACAGTGTAACATTATTGTAATATTTTTAGTCTCATTTATCAGGCTGTCACAGCCACATGGCCACATTTTATATTAGTTAGGGACTGTTTAGCTTTTTTAGCATCTGCAATTGCCTCGTTATTTCTGTCACAGTACAGCACTACTCTGATGACATCACTGAAATCTGTACTAGTAATATTTTCGTGTTGTTTCAGGTCCTCTAGTAACATTACAGACACTGGTAAATTAGTGTTTTGACTGCTCAGCTCATGAAATTCTTATTTTTACTATTTCACAACATGTTTATGAATGACATGTCCCCACAGACAGAGTGGAATAGGCAGACCTATGTGACAAATTCAGGGGTGTAGACTATCCTAATGATGAACTCTCACAAACAAGTGATGTACAACAGGTCTGTGCAATTCAGAGAGTTTGGTGAATCTGACTTAGAACATGTACAAGCAAACCTCACAGAAAAACATCAGAGAGCTTTAAGGTAAAAAAAATCTTTCCATATGAGGGTATACATTTGGTTTATAAGGGGATTTTCAGTGTGTGCTGACCTGCCAAGGCCTGTCCCAGTCCAGAGGTATAGGGAAAGCTCCCACCCAGGCCCCTACCACTGTGCAGGCCACTGTAATCTGGAGGCAGGTGTCCCACACAGACATCGCGCTGGAGACAGACAAAGCAAGGCAAATTAGTCTATCTGATGGTGAGACACAAAATAAGCACATGAAGCTTGTAGAAGAACGGGAAGCACAGAAAAGAAGAAAAACTGATTTTAGACATACCCGTGGCGACTGAACACTCGTATCCAGGCTTGGACGTTGGGGCCAAGGACACAGAGACACCTCAGTGTGGTTAGAGACGTCAGCAGCACAGCAAGGGAAAATGTCTCTAAGGCAGATCTGAAACAGAAATTAGAACCTCATAGCAGCAATCAAATCCCTTCCAAGTTTTAGACATGCAAACAGAGCAGAGAATCGAAAACAGCAGTTTTAGGACAAAACAATTACAGGATGTTGGATAATAATAAAACACAGACACAAAATGAACATACAGTATGTGAACTTGTAGCATGTCAAAAAGTACATATTAATGGGCAGAATAATTTCATGGTGTGCAAAAGTGTATTACTCAGCATCATGGTGAGTGAGTTACTTCACGCAACCTAACAGCTTCTCCTGTACCACCCTCTGCTTTCCTGTACGTTTCTCTCTCTCTCAAAACAGGTGTAGCACCTGAGCATCACCGGCTACTCACTCAATCAGCGGAGCTCCATAGAGAACCACCACAGTGTGGAAGAACAGGCAGGACAGGAAGAAGTACAGACAGGAACGAAACAGCCTAGACAGCTGCAGAGAGAAAGTGTTCATGAGAGTTAAGGGATAGATGATGTTAAAAACAACATTAACAAAATAATAGTAAATGAGGTCAGATGTTCACTTCCTGAAAAAACAATCTTGGTTAGATCAGTGTTGATGGACATGCAGGTAAGTTCAAGTCACACTTTGTTTCTATACAAATAAAATAAGAATTAGAAGGATCAGAAGCAATTACTGTCATGCTGGTAATGTACATGAAGACATAGCTAGTTTCTAATATTCATGAAGATCTAGCCGGTAAACACCGAGGAGCTTGCAATTACTGATAATTTATGATAATAAATAATCAAAACAAATATATGGAGAGCTTTCACCTTACTTAACTAAGTCATACTACCACCACCAGCAGCAGCCCAACAGTCACCTTGTATCCCAGTGTGTGCTTCTTGGTGGGTGGTGTGATGCCGAGCAGCCAGAAGACAGCGACACTGACCGCGGTGACCGTACCAGACACCGAGTAGAGCCACAGCAGGTGAGTTCCGTACACCGAGAAGTCGGGGACGAGCACCGCAGGTATGACAGTCGCCATGAACATCGAGGCGACGATTATGGCGTTGGTGGACGCCATGGCTCTGATTTCATGGTCCCACATGACGGTTACTTTACTTGTCTTTATCGAAATTACGTCGAAATTGAAATAAAAGACTTAATAAATATTAACTTAGCAGCGGATGTACAGAGGGGTTTAGCATTAAATCCATGGGCACATTTAGCTTCACATCTCGTAAACATGGACCAAAACAGACTTCCGCTGGGACTTCACAATAAAAGTCAAATGTTTTTACAAATGCGAAATGAACTGACGCGTTAAATTAAAATTAATCTATTATTTGAATCAGGGATGCTGATTAACGATTATTTCCATTATTGACCATTCTGATGATTATATGGCCAATGAATCGTTTTATTTCTAAAACGCCAGAAAACAGTGTAACATGTATTGTACATGTACATGTACTGGGGGAAAAAACTGTCCTTGTGTCGGGTTGTTTTGGCGTACAGTGACCTGTAGCGCCACCCAGAGGGGAGGAGTTCAAACAGTTTGTGTCCAGGGTGTGAGGGCTCTGCAGAAATCTTCTCGGTGCTCCTTTTGACCTCCTTTTGAGGTGTACAAGTCCTCCGAGAAGGAGGGAAGGCTGGCACCGGTGATCTTTTCTGCAGTCCTGGCTGTCTGCTGGAGTCTGTTCTCTGCAGTCTTTCACAAACTGCTTTTGAGAACTTGTGCTTGTGTATCTATATAGAAACTGAAAAATACATTCTGAAATCTGAGCAGTTTTGAGTAAAAAAATAAAATAAAATCTTGTTTTGATTTTATGTATATGTAATATATTCTTGGGTCTCTCTTGCAAAGGAGATTTTGAGGAAATTCATGTAGCCTACTCCAGGGATTTCACAGAGCATATACAGTAGAACTTCCAGGGTTTTCTCTACTATAGTTTACAGCAAACAGGAAGTATTACTTTGCAGGTAACTTTACGAATGTAACGCACACCCTTTAACCAATCACAGAGGACCAGTTTTGTTAACCAATCAATCTGTTGCAAATACAAGACAGGAAAAAACGACCGGAAGTTTACAAGCGTTAACCGAGGAAGCTCACGTTTAGCTAACATTTTTGTTTTATTTTTGATCAGTCGTCGAAAAACACTGGTTATAAAGAGAGAAGGATGGTTTGTGAGAAGTGTACGTATCACACTGTTCAGATGGTTGCTATATCCAGATCTATCATACGCTTTTGCTGTTGGTGAGGGCTGGATATTCATCGAAAGCTAACGTTACGTCCTGCTATCTGTTCTCATAGTGGTTTATGAATAGCGAGCCTGCTAGGCTTTATCTTTAACAAGTAAGTAATTTCTTTATAAATTCTGTGTATTTATTGTTTCAGGCGAGAAGAAACTTGGTAAGGTCATCACGCCCGACACCTGGAAGGATGGAGCACGAAATACAACAGGTGAAATGAGGCACACGCACACACACATTATCCTCTTCATTAATATAGAAGGTGTACCTTCCGAGATATTACAGCTGTTCACACTAAGGCTCGCTGCTGTGTTTTGCTGCCCTGATGATGCTTCATATTCTAGCAAATTTTGCCTTTTTTGATTTTAAAGTAATGGACAATTTTATCACTGATCGTCAACAACGTTTGCTTCCAAACTTAAAATAATAGTAACTGCACTGACTACACTGACCCCTCTTTTATTTTAACCACATTTATTTTCTAACCCTAGAGTGAACGTTCTTTCTTCTTTTATTTATTTTTGAGAATGAAAATCATTCATAAAATGTTTTTCATACTGTTTAGAATTTGTCTTTGTCTTTCCACTATCTTTAATGGAGTTCTTTCTGCTTATTTCACTCAGAGAGCGGCGGGCGTAAGATAAATGAAAACAAGGTCCTGACTTATAAGAAAGCCAGGTGGGTTTAAAGACTGACTATAAATCAGTGTTATTTGCTGTGACTCATCACTTTCTTTTCAAAATACTCATTCTGATTGTTCTACATTAGCCTTCATCATGTTTATTAATTTGCTAGAACTGTGCTACTGCTAATGTGGCTTAAAAAAACATATTAGTGTACCTCTGTAATGTTTTCCCATCTCAGGTTTGACCCTTACAGCAAGACGGGTTTTGCTACCTGCAGGATCTGCAAGAGCTCAGTTCATCAGTCTGGATCACATTACTGCCAGGGCTGTGCATACAAGAAAGGTAACTCACTGACACTGAGCAGAGGTCCTAATGAGTTTTATGTTCCACCAGTGTGTTTTCCCTTTATAGTCTTCTATTAATACACACTGACTAAGACTTGTTGAGATAAACTAACGAAACGCTTGTAGTGACAAACCCACAGAGAATTATCACCAATTCTACAGTTCACCTAAGCTCTATAGAGATTTATAGCATTTTTAAGTTAATTGTTTTAGTTTCCCAGCCCAACACTTAACTGTTGTGGTTCAGTGTCACTGCTTTCTTTAGTGTTGTTTTTGGCCTCTGGAGAAAGATGTTTTCAGTGAAAAAGCTGTAAAGTCCACTGCACACTACCTACTCGACACCAAGCAGCAGATAGCATTAGCAACTAGTATTCAGCAGCTAAAGTGACAGTTAAGTTCTTTTAGGAATTGGTGATAAACCAAAAACATGCCACATAATACAAGAATTCAGGGGCACGTGCTCCTGACATTGCTCTTCTCTCTCTACTAATGTTTTTTTTCATTACTTTTCTCTTTGTCTTTTAAGGAATCTGTGCAATGTGTGGAAAGAAAGTTTTGGACACCAAGAACTACAAACAGACATCTGTGTGACAGCTTGCTGGATCAGAGAACAGTTCTACTTGTGAATAACATATGTGAGGATGAAATTAAAGTGTGCATTTCTTGTTAAATGTTTATTATTGTTCCACAGTGCCCTGGCACAGACAGTCATAACCTTTGATTGTTATTTCTTACACCTGAGCAATTCAGGATGGCTTGGTCTTGTATTATAGAGTATTGTATAATTCTGATGGCACTTTTACAGTGGCCATACAAAGGGTAGCACTGTCTCCATGTACACCACCAGTTGTCACTTGTTTCTGAAGTTCAGGCTTCTAGATTTGTTTGTGTGTGTGTGCATTTTAAATGCAGTGACTGGATTTGGATTCTTTGCTTTTTAGAAAATTGATTTCTGCATGTAATATACGAAGTGTTGCATATTAATAAAGCATCCAATATAAAGACATTTGACTGGTTATTTTGTACTTCTGCCAGAAGCTGTAAAGTGAATCACTCTTATGCACAACATACCTGGTATTTCTCATGTATGCCTATGGTAATTGGTTTACTTTGACATAATCATATTTGAAAACTGCATGCTGCACTGTTAGGCATGACCCCCACTCATCCATTCCTTGCAGGCAGAGATAGAGGTTATCTGATGACAGACTCTTTCTTAAGGCCTTGTTTTCCCTCAGGCCTTCAGTCACATGTGCACACATCTGTGTGTTATGTCTCATTATTAATTTATGCTGTTGTACCATAGCACAAAAACAGTATCAGTATAGAATACAGGTAAAGTGCAGTAGGATCCAGGGCCTGTTCAGGAATAAGCGGTATAGATAATGGGTGGATTTACTGGCGAGGTAACAAATATTATCGAGACGGGGCGCTGTTTCCATGGGAACACGTCACCACATAAACGTAATTTCCTGTTAGGCTATTACGGTGGCGGGAGAATCCAGCATGGCGGTGCAGCCCAAGCAAAACCTGTCTATGGACAGTGCAGCCGAGCATGGCTTTCTTAACTTCATTTTCTCCATGCCGGAGAAACCGGACACCACTTTCAGAATATTCGACCGTAACGACTACTACACTGTTCACGGGAAAGACGCCATATTTGCGGCGAAGGAGGTTTTCAAAACGAATGGGGTCATCAAATATTTGGGCTCAGGTAAACTAGCATCTGTAGCCTAGCTAGCCGCGTTGCTAACAGAAGCTTGCAGACTGGTGACAGGCTGCATTTACAAACTGCCTATTGTTGATGCATATACTCGGAGCAAACTGCAACTGGAATGTTTGTGTTTTAGTTTTATATATATATATATATATATATATATATGTGTGTATATAATTGTAGCAGCTTTCAGAATTTGAGTGCCAAGCACCAGCCCAAATTTCAAAAGCATAAAATAAAGCAGTAGACTGCACATTTTGAAAAAGGATGCATTCAAGAAACACAACGCATGGATGTTCAGTGCTAGGTCCCATATGCATCTTAGGTTCCAACAATCTTTGTTAATCTTATAGCTAAATAATTTTCCTCCTGTTTTATGCATACTGTATGTTTAATGAAGAAATTGTTTTAACATAATCCCAAGTTTCATCTGTGCCCCTAAAAATAAATGTAAACCTGGAGCCCTGAGGTTATTCCTAATATTAATGTCGGTATGTTGGTCAACAGGGAGTCGCAAGCTGGAGAGCGTGGTCCTGAGCAAGCTGAACTTTGAAGCCTTTGTGAAAGAGTTGCTGCTAGTGAAGCACTACAGAGTAGAAGTGTACAGGAACCACGGCAAGAGCAGCAAGGAGCATGACTGGAAGCTCGAGTACAAGGTGCTGTGCTGACTGTGAAGGAGTGTCAGGCTGATTTCTGTTGGTTTAAAGGCCCATCTACCTTTTTAAATGCAGAATAGCTATGTTGCCATGTTGGTTTCCTACTTTCACTACTTTTTGTGGAATTTCACTTGGTGTCAGTTCACCCTAAGCAGTCAGTTATTTTCTTGATTATAGAATAAATTTATTTTGTGCATATGAAATCAGAAAACTGAAAAATGACATCATATTCTAGTACACAAGGTGATGTCATCAACTTTACAAAATCCACCAGTCCAACATGTTGCAACTTAGCTCTGTACACACGAAAGGAACAAGCTGGTGGTAATTAAAATCATGAATCTGAACATCACTTAGTCAAATAATATAACAGCTAAATATAGTCTTACAACAGAAGTATTTGTTCTGATTCTGAAATTGTAATTTTACCTTCCCACGTAGGCCTCTCCAGGAAACCTGACACAGTTTGAGGAGATTCTTTTTGGTGGTGGAACTGGAGCCGAGGGCTGTGCAGGAGTTGTAGCCGTCCGGTTCGCTACAGGGGCTGATGGACAGCGTGTGGTCGGGGTCGGATACGTGGATGCAGCCCAGAGGAAGATGGGAGTGTGCGAGTTTCCTGACAATGAGACGTTCTCCAATCTGGAATCTCTGCTTGTCCAGATCAGCCCCAAAGAGTGTCTCTTAGCCCAAGGTGAAGCCAACACTGAGAGCAATAAACTACGAGAGGTATGATGAGTTCAGCTGAATGCAACTTTATTTATTCCCGCAAAAGTAATTGGATGCATCATCTTCTCACCCAGGTCATTCTCCCATTACTGCCCCATATCATTTTACGTCATTCATTGGGTTTTACTGGATAAACTGAGTACAGATTCTTGTTTCAAATCACTTTGTAAAAAGTGCTACACAAATCTACAAATCATGCGTCTTTGTAGGTTGTGCAGCGTGGAGGCATGTTGATCTCTGATAGGAGGAGAGCTGAGTTCAGTAGCAAGGACATGGTCCAGGATCTCAACAGGCTGCTAAGAGCCAAGAAAGGAGAGAGCGTGGCCAGCAACACACTGCCTGAGTTTGACAAACAGGTGAACAAAAAAGCCTCCTGACACTTGCAGTAAGACTGATTTACTTAAACCACCAAAAATTACATCACTAGGCCTTAGCAGACAAGGATGGTTTTATTTTAAAGCCTCTTGGTAGCCAGGTAGATTTATCATATACTGATCAGCACACATGGTGAACTGTGCTAAAAACTATATATTCCATACTAGATGTGAAAATCTGAAGTACTTGGCAGTTAGCCACTGTAGGTCAGAATAATAGTTGAATAACAAAGGAGTTCATATATGACACCAGAATGTCTGTCCATGGTTTCATTCGCAGGTGGCCATGTCATGCTTGGCTGCAGTGGTGCGTTTCCTTGAGCTGCTCTCTGATGAGTCCAACTTCAACTCCTTCAGTCTGACCACTCTGGGCCTGGGACAGTACATGAGGCTGGACAACAACGCTGTGAGGGCTCTTAACCTCTTCCAGGTCAGTGGCAGGGACCACATAATAACTGCTGGTTCTGGTTTTAGAGGGAGTAACGTGGTGTCGTTTTCCTTCCACCAACACAGTTCAATTTGTTAATAATGTAGCGGAATGACTACACCTTAGGACATGGATATTAATATTCAATGTTCAATTCAATATTTTAATACCTTGTTAGAGTCGGGCACCAGATAGTTTGAGTGCTATCACACTATTGATGAAGTGGTTAATAATTAATTCAGCCTCATTGGTAATTCTGGAGTTCTCAGAATGTTGACCTATTTACTAGAAATGGAAGAACCCCAAAGATGACATGAGAAATAACCAGTTCTATTCTAAATAAATGTATTTACATATGTACAACAGGGAAAATGATCAAGGTGAGAGATGGTACAGTGTAATAGAGATGACTGGGTTTAACAGATGACTGAACAGTTTGTTGTTATCGATGGTGGGTGATGAGTTATTTATCTAAACTCATTAGATTGAGATCTAGGCCTTATGGTTTAAATGATAAATTTGTATCCTCCAGGGTTCACCCGATGACACCAGTGGAGCCCATTCATTGGCCGCTCTGTTGAACAAGTGCCGTACACCACAGGGTCAGCGGTTGGTCAACCAGTGGCTCAAACAGCCGCTCATGGACAAAACCAGAATAGAGGAGAGGTAAGGCAATGATAGCATGATCATATACTTCTAATAGACATTTTAATGGATTGCTGCCATAACAATTTTAGCAGTCACACTGTAAACATTGAGCTTTCAGTCATATACAGATAATTTAAGATTATAAACTTAATCATTTTAATCTTTCAGTATATGGATCAACAAATATTGTGATAGTTTGCTTTGCTCCATTGAATCATAGTGGAAAATGTACTGATCCAGAGTGAAATACTTAGACAGTATTTGGATAGATTCAGATCTGCTGTGGACATTCACTGCATACATTTTGATGATACTGTTGTGCATGTCTGTAGACTAGACCTGGTGGAGAGCTTCGTGTTGGACTCAGAGCTCAGGCAGACCTGTCAGGAGGACCTGCTGCGGCGGTTTCCTGATCTCCACCGTCTGGCAAAGAAGTTTCACCGTCACACTGCCACATTGCAGGACTGCTACAGAGTCTACCAGGCTGTGAGCCAGATCCCTGCCCTCATCACAGCCCTGGAGAGATACTCGGGTACAACCTGCAGTTGAACCACACACAAAATATGTTGAAGTGCCAGTTCACTGTGTAGCATTATTGTCTTGCAGAAGTGATTGCACTGTGCAGTTGCTGCAGCTTTGCCAAGAAGATTAAGAGGCTGTCTTAATCAGGCTGTGTCTGAGCCCAAAGGTTCTTCATAGATTTGAGATTGTGATTATGAAGGAAATGCATTCCTGTAATTGATTTCATAAAAACTTAACAAGATGAAAACAACAGTTATAGATGAGACTGCTTAGGCTGGAAGTAGTCATTTTGCCCATTGCAACACAGTTGAACAGTGATGATTGTCACCCACCTTCTGATTTGCATGTGTTGTAGGGAGCTACCAGGTTCTGTTGGAGGCAGTGTTCCTCTCTCCTCTGAGAGACCTGCAGACGGACTTTACAAAGTACCAGGAGATGATTGAGACGACTCTGGACATGAACCAGGTCTTTTCTTTTATATTTACTCACGTAGAATGTAACAATATTCTGTTTGTGTTTGTATATTATCAACATGTTCTATACATACTGTACTTGTTGTGTGTAGATTGACCACCACGAGTTCCTGGTGAAGGCTTCATTTGATCCTGTGCTGAGTGAGCTGAGAGAAAAGATGGACATGCTAGAGAAGAGCATGCAGGCAGTGCTGAACAGTGCAGCCAGAGAGCTAGGTGATGACAGTGTGCACACACACAGACCGTCCCTCACAGTGTGTAGCCATACAAGTCCACAAACACACAGTTGTGTTTCCATAAATTCAGAGGACTCTTGCTCTTTGTCCACAAAAGGAATTAATTCCCCACAACATGATTAAGTACACTCACATGCAGAGATGCACTGATTGGTTGGCAGAGGTTTGAAATGGCCGATTTTCAGCGTGATCGGCCTTGACTGGTGACTGGCCAATCACCCGGAGATGTCCGATTCTGTGTTGGCCAGATTTAGAGGTACGAGATTCCACCTCACACACGCAGTTGCACAAACGAAAAGCATAGCATGTGCATCGCGTAGCATCTCATGTCTATACCAGGGGTGTATTCTCTCATGCACTGGAAGCATTTGATGTACAAACAGGACACAGAGGAGCCCAGAGAAAAACTTTGGAGAAAGAAAACTATGTCCAAATTACAGGCTCCACATGAAATGCATGTTATATGCGTATCCCAACCCTTGGTAAAACACAGCAAATACAAACTACTCACAATGGTTTTTTTTTTGTTTTTTTTTTATTACATTTTTCATTAAAGAACATTTGAAAATTGCAATTGGTGCATCTCTGCTTGTGTATATACGCTCCCTGGCCACTTTATTAGGTACAATTGTATAAAGTTCAATGCAACATTTCCACTTCAACATCTGTGTTTTTCAGTTTCTGGTGAAATTGTCAAATGTATATAATTATATATTCATTATTGAGGTCATAGTTAAAGGTGCTATTGTACTGGACTACATTATATTCAGAGGTGTTCCTAATATATTTTCTGACCCTCTCATGTATGTAGCTGGAGAGGAAAAATTATAGACACCTCTAAATATAATGTAGTCCAGTAAAACACAACCTGAGCTTCATAAACACAGGCAGAAGTGTTGGATTGAACTACATACAATTGTACAGGTGTACCTAATAAAGTGGCCAGGGAGCGTATATCACAGGCACCAAATACACAAAAAAATCCTTGCTCATCATAGCAACTTTATGTTTCAGGTCTGGATGCTGGTAAGACTGTGAAGTTGGAATCGAATGCCATGCTGGGTTTTTACCTGAGAGTCACCTGCAAGGAGGAGAAGAGTCTGAGGAACAACAAGAAGTTCACAACCCTGGATGTGCAGAAGAACGGGGTGCGCTTCACTAACAGGTCTGTTTCTATGTGCCACACTCTCAGTACCGTTCGTGGGTAACCGTGCTTCTCCTGTCAGCTCATGGTCTGCACTCCTGTGTGCACTTTCACATGCCTGTAGTAAGCTGAGCTCTCTGAATGAGGAGTACACTAAGAGCAGAGAGGAGTATGAAGAAGCCCAGAATGCCATCGTTAAAGAGATCATCAACATCGCCTCAGGTGAGGAATTTCATTTGATAGAAGAAACAATTATGTCAGACTTTCATAGAATAGAATGACTTGTCTGACATCTAGTGATAGATTTCAATTATTATTATTATTTTTTTTTTTTTTACAAACACCTCTAACTTAAGTTCAAGAATTGGGACGGTGGTCACATGGCAGGCCGGTTTAGAGGCTGCACATGCTATGCTCTCCTGTCTCTGTGGTAATTAATTTATAGTGTTAAACTCTGTGAACCTCCAGGTTATGTGGACCCCCTGCAGACTCTAGGTGACGTGATCGCACAGTTAGACGCAGTGGCGAGTTTTGCCATGGCGTCTGTCTCTGCTCCTGTGCCGTACGTTCGGCCTCGCCTCTTAGCTGACGGCAGCAGGCATATAGAGCTACTACAGGCCAGACATCCTTGCATGGAGACAGATGCAGACACCGCCTTCATACCCAACGACATCACCTTTGTCCAGGGGGAGAAGAGCTTCTATATTATAACAGGTGAAAAGAGACAACGCACTTGTGAAGTGAAATATCCAGTTTAAAATAAGTTCATTGCAGTTACAATGAGTAAAAATCAAAGCTAAAAGAAGAGTGAATATGGGGCTGAGGTTCAAGTGCCATTCCTCTGTAGGTTCATCACTGCAAGCAACAGCCCTAAAATTGTGACATTGTCTTGTGGTACATAGTTATTATTAAAAACAAGGTCACATGTCCAAACTATGAATGAAGACTGAAGCTGTTGTAAACAGAGATTATCCAGTTAAACTGAAGGGAAAACCTAGCTTTACACAGCTCTCCTCTCTTCTTGTGTGCAGGACCAAATATGGGTGGCAAGTCCACATTTATCCGGCAGGTGGGTGTGATCGCTCTGATGGCTCAGATCGGCTGCTTTGTGCCATGTGAAAAGGCGGAGCTTAGCATGATTGACAGCATTCTGGTCAGGGTGGGAGCAGGAGACAGCCAGGTGAAAGGAGTGTCCACCTTTATGTCCGAGATGCTGGAGACCTCTGCCATTCTGCGGTAAGAACACACACAAAAGCACGCTTACATCTTTACTACTAAAGACAATACAAGCGTGGTTTCAACCTCCATGTTGTATCTGCAGCTCGGCCACAGAGAACTCGCTCATCATAATCGATGAGCTCGGCAGAGGCACGTCCACGTATGACGGCTTCGGTTTGGCCTGGGCCATCAGCGAACACATCGCCTCAAAGATCGGTTGCTTCTGCTTGTTCGCCACTCATTTCCATGAGCTGACGGCGCTGGCGGCACAGCAGCCCACTGTCCACAACCTGCACGTCACAGCCCTGACCTCCCACAACACACTCACTATGCTGTATAGAGTCAAACCAGGTCAGTACACAACGTACATCCACACTGTTTTTCAATGAGTGACTTCTCTGCATTTCCTAACCTGATTGATAGATGTAAACTGATAGAAACCAGGGCCACAAAAGGAACCTACAGTGTTAGGTGAGTGATTTTAAGGCTAATCAGTGTATGTCAGTGATCTTAAACTGGACAAACAAGATGTAATTTCTCTATGTTTTAACCTTGTGCTCTACAGTAATTGCACAGCACTTAATTTGGACTTGTATCGTGCTGAAAGTGATACAGAAATGTCATGTCCAACCAGTGCCACTAGACCTAATGACTGATGCTTATTCATGTAGTCTCCAAACTGATGCAGACCCTGACTTTGCGTTCAGGTGTGTGTGATCAGAGTTTTGGTATCCACGTTGCCGAGTTAGCTTGCTTCCCTCCATCTGTGGTTGCCATGGCAAAGGAGAAGGCGGAGGAACTCGAGGAGTTCCAGGAACCTGCGGGGGAGAAGTCAGAGCAGGAGGAAGAGCCTGAAGCCAAAAGACGACGAACAGACAAACAAGTAAGTATCCATTTTCTTACATTTTGCTGTCATCATCACTAATTACATCTGTGTAGTTGAGGAGTATGTCAAAGGAAAAAAAAAAGGAAAAAAAGACTGGAAACAGGAAATGATAATGCTTTTTATTTAGGAAAGGGAAGTTGGGGGCAAAGGGAGAAACATGAGGCAAAGATGCTGCAGTGACCGACACGATAGTCCTGAGGATTATTTACGATGTCCATTGTGAATACATATCTGTAGATCCACTTAGAAAACTTTAGAATAGAACTTGCCTGCAAATTTTTTAGTCTTCATTATCAAAACGATTAAATGAGTGTTGTATGTCCACAGATACACTGCAAAGAGGAGCTGGCAGTAGTCTTTAGGGGTGCCAAATTACCAAAATTAATAAAAAATATAGGCAACAAAATAGAAAAAAAATGGTTCAATACATAGCCCACAGCTAACTAACAGGTTCAACTATAACATTATATTTGCAGTATGGAAACTAGTTTCAAATCTAGGAGCATCAAACTATCCCCACTGTGAGTCAGACAGTGGTGAATTACTGGGGAAGTCGCTACAAGCATCAATGAGTAAAAGTACTCATTGAGAAAATGTGTTTATGCCACAGTTGTTAATTCACACATGGAATGGCCAAAAGTTGACATAGTGAAAATAATGAAAATCTCTAAAATTGGACATTAAAACATTTTCAACTGACTCATGTTCAGGCAAGTTGAAGGATTACCTGTTAAATTACATGATTACCTGTCTAATTTTCAGTTAAACCTTGTAAAGGTTACTGCATTTTGTCACGAGACTGAAAACTTCTGTTTTCTTTCAAGGAGTTGACATTTTAAATTTTACTCAGCACCTGTGGTTTGGAGCTTTTGTGAAACTGTTGTACTGCCTCTGCTTCAGGTCGGGGAAATGCTGATCCAGGACTTCCTGGAGAAGGTGAAGTCACTTCCTGCTGCTATCATGAGCGAAGAGGAGGTGAAAGCAGAGCTCAGGAGAATGAAGCACGAGTTGGTCGCCAAAAACAACACGTACGTCGCAGAGATCCTTGCACGCTGTGTTCATGTAAAAAATGCTTAATTTGTAAACACGTTTATCTGCTAAACACAGGTTAAAGTTCATGTATCACAGGCAAACACTAGACCGCTTATATTGTATAGGTTTTCAATAAAGTAGTATTTCTAGATGTTGTTTCTGACCCACTTATTTACACAATGACTTATGGTCTGAGCTGATCACTTAGTCTCACTTTAACTCTGTGTACAGTGTGTGATTAGAAGATAAGGCCGGTCATTTTCTATATTACTGGTTTCCAAGACTTCCCCATACAGAAACTAAAATTGACCGTAAATTGTCTGTACTCATCGTTAATGAGTGTCAGTCTGCAGCCTGGATTAGCTTATGTTTGTGCCACAGACCTCCTTTGTCAGGCAAAATTATTAAATCATTTGTTAAAAATGTTGCCCCAAAGGCTCTGAACCACCATAACCTTTACTACATTGGAAGCAAGAAAGAGTCAGCTGTTCATGCAGGAGATCTCCGGATATTTTTAACCAATATCAGGGTCTTGAGTTTCGGGCTATGGCACAGACATTAACTGTTGGTTTTAGTCTCTTTATGGGGACTGCTGAAAATACTGTTAATATACAAAATGACTTGGCTTTATAATTACTGTACATTACCGCTGTGTAAGTTCATAGCATGTAAATATCATTAAATTTATAGTACTGGAAAGTTCAGAGCAAACTCAGCAATAGTTGTCAGGGAGACCTGACAATGGCAAGAAAATTTTAAAGAAAAGATTGAGAGGTATCCAGCTCCAATAACTACTGGTGTTGGTCAGAGATCACTTAACCATGATACACGTTACTGACACTCGCAGCTGAAATGAGTCAAATTCTGCAGCAGCAATCTTATTTTAATAGCAAACAGCTGGTTGAAGCCTCTCTGCTTGTTTTTGCAGTCATCTAGGATTTAGTTTTGGTCAGATTGTGTGTTTGTTTTCTCACCTTTTTGTTGAATAGTTAACCAGTTATGCAGTTAACTGGCTCTGCATTGTGTTTCAATAGCCTGTCTGGGTCTGGCAGTACATTTCAGCATCAGTTATTCTGAAGGAGAGCTGAAAACAGTTTAGTAATATTGCACAGGTTTGACAAAAGTCACTTATTATGGGTCTGTAAAAGAAATGTCTCCCCAAAAGATCACCAACTGTTACAGGTGAATAATGCAGAGAGGCTTTTTACCCCTCTAGCAATTTTTCAGTGAAAGCTGCTGCTGTCACTGTACTGAATTCAGGGAATCAAAAGCAGATTGTTAAAGATAGGGTTGGCGATCCTGGAAAAACCAGTAAGAGGAAACTCAGTTTTGAAAGTAGACAACTGAAAAATCGGACCTTTAGCTCTGACTTGTCACTAAAACCATCACTCCAAAGCACAACGTGTACTGCCTGACTACTACTTACAGGTTTCAGGAAACGAATGCAACAATGATCTCAGTTTGCAAATGAAATCAGCTGTGGATACCTTCTTCACCATTGCCTGCTAGCTTTAGCTATCAGTACAGAGCAGTAACACTTCTGTCTGCCTGGCCTGGTGGGAGATTCTTTGTGCAAGTAGGAAGTTAGGTTAACAAGCAGGTAGGCCATCAATGGTTTTGCTGGTGCCGAGTAAAATTATTAGTCAGGCTTTTCCAAGCCTGCTGCCGCCACAGGTTTGTTTTTTATGATGTCTGTGCATTTTATGTATTCTGCATTTGGGATGAAAAGAGAATTTCAAGATAGGTAACTAAAAATGCGTCTGAAAAGAATTGCCAACCCTACCTTTAAATGAACTGTTTTTGGGGCAATTATACGCATTTTTTTTTTTTGATGAGACAATTACTGGTGATTCTGCAGGATGTGAAAATTATCAAAAGACCAACACCACTGATCTAATAAAGTTTTATTTTCTTAGAAATGGCCATTTTGTTTTTTGTCTTTCTAAGAAAGTATACCCCTTTGAGTTTCAACTAGCATCTACATAATGGTTATTGAATACTTCACAATATATTAAGTCTAGATGTTATGGTACATGCATACAATTCAGGCTGCATGAGGAGCCACAGTCACCACGATACACGGGGAGGGAATAGGGGGTGGGGGGGACTGCAGATAGACTCGTCAGTTCCAGTTTAAGGAGCTCTGACACCTCCTATTGGAACCCTCTCCACAAACACTGACTGCATCAATTATAAACACATATGCACGCGCGCACACACACACACACACACACACACACATACACACTCTATACAACTGTGGAGCCCCTCCACCTGCCATTTAGACCAATATCCTGGAGAGGGTTTTTAGTGTTTACATGAGATTCTCTTTCACAGAAAGAACTTCACCACTGGGACGGCCGAATTTCTGCAGTTTGCCTGGGTGTGGGGGGGGGAGGAG